GGTTAACAATACTTTATTTTCCAAAGGCATGAAATCACGTGAGCTCTAGGATCAAGGTCTAAGGCACAGAGGAGGCATCTTAATTGCCCATCGAAAAAAAGCTAATCACTAAATGTCAGCTCTACAATAAAGTAATTCAAACTTTTAAAATCCAATCGTTACTTTTCTTATGCTTGCATTCACAAAGAGTGAATATTTTAATTTATTGAAGCATATTTTTACATGTTTTATTAGTTTTGCATATATTAGTGTTGCTTAAGATGTTTTTACTATAATTGGTAATTATGAATTGTAAAAATACATTTAAATAGAGGTGGAATGAGGTGGTTGGAGGTGCAAACAGGAGCCTCACACAACGCAGGCGTCTTTGCATCGAACTCCAGGAAAAGCGGGTTAGGTTTCGGCCTAGGATTGGGGTTGAATCTTGTGCAACGTTGTCGTTTGTTCAAAAGGTTAACTTCAAGGTTCGTTACGGTTAACTTTAGAACTTGGGTTTAGTTTTGGGCTAGGGTTAAGAATGGGGCTGACGTCGGAACAACCAATTAATTTGTCTGACTTTTCGGATTCTCTCGAGAACCCTTAAGCGCTCCTAACAGTAGAAAAGGATGATACATGCATAAATTAGAATGATATATACACAGGTCAAACGGTATTTATAGTTCGTAGTCGCCAAGCGGCCGCATACGCACTATAAATATCACCTTCAGTAAGCACCGCCGGAGGCCGTAATTGGTGCGGCGATGACTTGGCAGTCCGCGTTCGAGTCATTAATTGCCGCAATTTCGTCATCCGCAACAATTATGTTCGCTGTCGTCGGAGTTATTGCTGGGCCCGTGCACCCATGGTGCCTTTGGAGCTCAAACTCGAGCATACTTGAGTAGGGTTTGACGGGCTGGCGATGGCTTATAAGCCAGAAATGGCCATCCCAGTCTCCCTTGTCTTTGTCCTTAATTTCATTCTGTCTATATTCTGCCCCAGAAGGTTGCCGTCCTGTTGCTGTGTTGGATGCCCGCCCATTAGCAATCACGTATTTATATCAACGTGGTTTGTAGAAAGTAAGAAAATTATTTTTTAGCTCATGCATTTTGGATCCTACAATGCGCATAGAGACTAGGAAACCTATTCGTATGCCCTTTAGTAGGCCACTGAACAAGGTTCAAGTGTTATGCGTTTATCCTTGGCTAATTCAACTGCATATACTTTAGAAACCTCGAGACTTTGCGTAGCATTGATCACGAGAACTGGTGTCAACAACAAGACTTCCGTCGCATTTTCCTGGTGAGCGCATTCATGATAAACAGCAGCAACTTAAAAAGACACCAACCAGTCGGAATTTACGTTCGAAAGATCTTAATCTCTGATCAGACTATGAAAAACCATAGTTTCGGAACTGCCGTGCAACGAGAGGCACTGTCTGTTTGATGCGCATTTAATCGTTTTATTGTTGCTATAGTCGTTTGGTTTATTTTCTATTTGCTAGGTAAGGAGAACATGCTCCCAAGTCCCGCTTATCCTTGTGGGGATGAAGAGCGACCTTCGTGATAATACGGAGGCGGGGAAAAAGGCACCAGTCCTGGTTAGTGAAGCCGAGGGGAAAGCCACAGCCTCGAGTATCGGCGCCTTTGCCTACATCGAGTGCTCAGGTAAGTACCGTGTGCGCAAACACACATTTATGCCCTTGAAGATTGTTGATGTTATTATGTTTGACCTTGGCTGTTACGTGGAGACTCAGTAAGGGCCAGCACAATGCCACGTGTCTTCGATGTGAGCAAACCGAGTGGGCGTCTGTGGGCGTGGGTAATTTGATCGGGGCATTTTTGCATAATCACACATGAAGCTTCAGAATGGGAGACAATTTTTGGACCTACGCTTAAACCAAGATGGTGTACTTTGGCTGAGTCATTGTTTTTTCTGGATCGCGCAAAGTTAAGCCGGATAGTGTCAGTGTAGCAGGCTTTGGTTTTTAACTTGTGTCACCATCTCTTAAAAAACCGTTATTCCATTTTGAAACTCCAAGACGCATTGACTCACTTATTAGTATATACCAGAGAATATCCGAGAATATATGTCATAGAGACTGTCGATGATTTGTTTTGCTGAAGGTACAAGTCGGACCGCGTAGACAGCCCAGTGCGTGGGAGTGGCAGACTAGCGGGTGGATAGGCAGGCCGCAACAATTCCTTCTTCATATGGTCTCTCTGGCAGTCCGATCCCGTGGGATCGGTTTTTAGCTGTGGCGGCGCGCTTAAGAATGGATCCGGCTGCGCCATACACATGCGCCCTATCAGGCCTCCGGTCTTCTTTATTCGGCACCAGGCCCAGGTTGGGTGGAGTGAGGGGAGAGAATGGGAGCTGCAGTGGAAGTCTTACCTCATTGTAATATACCACACGCGCAAGTCACCGTGCTTGCTTCCAGACTGCGGTGAGGCACGCGATGGACATAGTCGAAACCGACGGTTCAGCTTCCGCTAGAGGAAATGCAGTATCGTCCAACTGAGTCTAGCCTCCACCACTGTGCTCTCAGTATGAAATAAACCTCTTCTGTGGGGAGGAGGAGAAAGGACTATATGCTATTATGGCGGACGTCCTTCTTCGAACAGTTTGACAGTCACGAGCAACGTTGTGCGCCGTATGTCTCGCGGAATGGGCGCAGCATCGGTGCCTTGTGCGTCATCTTGCAGAGATTCCGCAAGGGCTTATAAAATGCCCCCTGTCTTCCATGCAGCCAGACTGACTGCGCGTCTGCGATCGCTTGTTTGATCAGAGGGCAATTTGTATAATCAGCCGTGAAGCTAAGCCCAGCCAACCTAATTATACGACCTTCTTCACAGAACAGTCTCCGGACCTATAATTAGACGAACACTGTGTACTTTAGCTGCGCCATTGTTCTTCTGCATCGCTGACAGTAGGGCGAGTGCTGCCAGCAAAAGGCCCGCAATTTTCGAAAGACTGGTAATAACTCGCAAAACAACATTATGTAGGGTTGCAATACCGATTATCGTGCAGCCTAATCTCAAGTCGTTTCAGTCACGCCAGGATGACCGTTTATAAAAAGCAGATTCTGTATAAATGGCTGCATATATGGTATGCAGTCTTATTATGGAGTTTGACTGTCTGTACAAATTCAAATCTACTTTATGGGAAAGATGCACGAAAATGTTCTTTCTTGTACTCGTTTGTAAAAAAATAACGCCTTATTTTAATGTTATACTTAAAGAAAGGGTGGCTTTCGGTTTTAAAAAAGGTTATAAATTGCCGAATAATATTTAAATTTGCCGACTGCTACACGTGAATTGAAGGTTTCCAAACAGCATGTCGTATACATCCTTTTTAAAGAAAAATCTTTTTGCCTACGGTTTCAGGAAGAGGTCGCAAGGTTCTCATAAAATATTGCAAGAGAGGTGAATCATGTTGCGTACATTATAGACAGCATTTAGAAATGGACGGATGCAATGTATGATGAAGGAACATTCCACATACATTTTTCTAAAACCGAATGAAACCGTTTTTTTAAGTATAACTTTAAAAAAGCCGTAATTGGCTGCCATATGCTTACAAAAAGTATTATTTTCGTGCATGCCTTCTATAAAATATATTTGAATTTATAAAGGCAAAAGTGCCTACCATTTAAGTAGCAAAGTTTTACAGAATCTGTTTTCTGTAAGTGGTCAGAAAGAAGCTCATCAAAGAGCCGCCATCCTGACGTGGACGAAAATATATAAGACTCTATGGTTATACATATTGAAACCCTACATAATGTTGTTTTTCGAGTTATAGCTAGTCTTTCGCATTTTGCTTACAGCACTCGCTATACTGTAAAAGAACCAACCATAACTACAATGTCGTAGTCTAGTTGTTGCTTAGCTTGTCTCATCATCTTGTTTAAAGATATAAGACAAATTTGAATCGCTTTGATGTTTTCAGTCACTGATTATTATATTCCAGAAAAATTCCGATACTAAAAGTTATAAAAGCTAGGAGTAAGCACTAGGATCAGAAAGTGGAAAAGCAGCTTTATCCTGCTGAGCCTCGCAGGCTCTGAATAAGAGCTGAAGCTCATCGGCGAAGAGGAATGCTATGGTGATTGCGGACGGTCGATGGTCACGATGCACGACGTCCATGGCGTATATCTCAGGGGATGGACGCAGCGCCGGTGCATTGGGCGTCCCTCAGCATATAATAAATCAGACTTCCGTACCTTAGACTTCTTCAGCGAACTTGCCCTGTGACCACAGTGAATCGGAAGGAAGGGTAGTGTGATCGGGCGCCATGACTCAAAAAAGACCCACTGTATCTACGCCTGCCACACACGACAGGCTGCATCTAACCTAAGTGAGGGCGCCACATTGAGAAGGCGCCCACATCTAATTGCGGACGGTCGATGGTCACGAAGGACGACGTCCACGGTGTGTGCCTCAGGGAATGGACGCAGCGCCGGTGCATTGGGCGTCCCTCAGCATATAATGAAGCAGATTTGTGCAGCACGCGTCGCACACTCCTCCTCCTCATCATCATCATCATCAAATCTTTGACCAGGGTGAATCGGAAGGAACGGTGGTGGATTCGGGCGCAGTGAATAACAAAACGACCCACTGTATCCACGCCTGCCACACACGATGGCTTGCATCCAGCCTAAGTGAGGGCGCCACGGTGATAAGGCGCCTGAGCAGAGTGAAACAACTCCAAGGTACCTAATGTTGCTATGCCGTTCCCTGGGCAGCATACTTTCGGCTATTAGGCAACTTGGGAACGAATGTGATGCTTATCTAGTGGGCTATGCAAAAAGACGGAATAATTCTGTGCGCTCATTTATATTTTGACATCTATTGAGAAAATTACACTACTATTAAACGTTTGAAATAACGCAAGCTGTTTGGCAGCTGGGTAATAGAAAGATCGGTCTTCCCGCTTCTCGGACACATGTCGCGCAACTAAAGTATTCTATTCATAATATGGCCGTTTTCGATCACAAAAGCATCGGAACTCCAAACCGAGATCGCTACTTTTTCAATTCCGCCATAAGGCCAGTGTTTTCTGGATGCTTGAATTCACTTGTTAGCCACGATATCCCCGAACACGTATACTGACCACTATTCTGTATTCTACTAGCATACGCGTTACACAAAAAAGATTTACCGACCATCGTAGAAGTGAACCCCATTTTAAAATTAGATTAAGTCAGAAGAAGAAGAAGAAGAAGAAGAAGAAGAAGAAGAAAAAGAAGATGCGATCACTGTCACAACCATTTTACTCACCTGACTCTTCCTATTCTTACTCGAACCCAGCATCGGAAGGTAGATAAGGGTAATAGTACAGGCCGAAGGTGTGAAGAATTCATAGAACATAGTTGCCATATCGCCAAATGCGTGATCACAATTGGAAGCTGGAATTAATGCGATGATGTTTTGATAGTCCGCACCCTAGTCGTGATTTGTCAAGATGTAGGTATAATCATTACTTGACAACTTAGGTAGCTTTTACTGGAATTATTAAAGCGTCCGCCCCTCTCAACTTGACTGATTTTGCTGCCCAGGCAGAGTCTAAGCAGAGGATATCGGAGCGAGATGTGACTGTACTTGTTGGTGGACTGCGGACCGGCGATCCATGATTCGAGCAGGTCGCAGCCAATGCGGTTGTCACCTCTTGCACGTGTTCGGCCGCATGAACCTGGAAAATATAGTGGTCTCGTCCACTAAGCCGCAACCTAGGTGCTAGCGCGCTTCCTCCCCCCCTCACTGCTGCTGCGTATTCGGTCATCCGTGTCTGGAGTTATCTTCCGGTTAAGTCGAAGTAGTTGCTTTTCCCACAACCTCGCCGGATGCGGTAAACGACTTTAGACGTTTACTGTCTTGGCAAAGTGGTCTTAGGGCTCATGATCTCGCGTTGAGACGGACTACAATGAAACGGAAGACAGAGTTACGGAATTATTATAGATTCGAAGTGTAGGGAGTGGCAATGGTTACCCGCGAAAGTTTGTCAACCAGCGCCGGTGCAAACTCTACGAGCCTAATATTAGGAAAAAGAATGTATCTGCCATCATAAAAGGGAACACATTGTCAAACCACGTTAACCTTCTTGTGTTAAAAGCCTTTACTACATGCTGACAGTGTAAGCAACATCAGTCCTTTTCTAATTTTTCTTTGCAGCCAGGCTCTATCAGCATGTTTCGGATGTGTTTGAGCTTGCCGTGATGGCCGCGAACAGTAAACAAAAAGGACACAAAAGTCTCTTCCCCACGGTTCCATTAATTACCACACCTCGAACCGCAAGGTCGCATCGAAGAAAGGAAAAAATTAAATCCACAGACGGACTTGATGCGGAGAGTTTGGACGAGCTAGCGACGTTCGACAGAAGTGGGAGGAATCAACAGATTGCTGAAAGCAAGTCTCTTCCCATTTTTTCTCCAATAGAAGAGACACATTTCTGATGCATTTAACACATCCTGAGACAAACATATTGTTTGCGGTTCCTATGTGGGAAATAAATAAAGTTTATATTTTTTCTACCTTTATTCCTCATAGTTTTTCAGTGTTTTTTTATCGTTGCTGGTCGCGATATTAGCTGTCCGGGTTTCTATGATACTTGTAAACGAACTCTTAGCGAGAATACAGTAAAATCACAATTGAAGGCCAATGTATGTTTGCCACGTCATTCCCTTAGTCCGCCTATGGTCATTTTAGCCTAACCTAAAAATCGCTTCCTCTGCAATCTGGCTAACTTTCATGTTCCCACCTG